CGTCTCGCTTCGCTCGGGCGAGCGCTTGGGCGAGCGCCTAGCGCCTCGGGCGTTTTTGGACCTTGGCGCCTTTTGGCGCCTAGCGCTTTTTAAATCACTGGGTTTGCCATATCTGACCAGCCATATAGGTCCCTAGTCAGACCGATACTCATCGGTTGGTATTGGTAACCCGAAAAAGGGCTGAAAAATCAACTGAATTAAAAAAAATCCTATTTCAGGTTTTCTTATCTTAATTTATTGGTATATAAATTAAATTTGATATGTAAACATGCATTAATAAGCCTCCAATTACCCATTAAACATGTAAAATACGCTCGTAAATCATGCAAGAAGTCAGGATATGATCAATCTAAGGTAGTACTTCTTAAGAACCTTAATTAAGTCATAATAAATCATTAGTTACTAATAAATTAATAATTACCAATATTCTTTACGCCAATTATGTGCTGTGACAAAGAAAATATTGATAAAAGCTAACTACCTTCAATCAGAGACAAATTCTATTGGACCTGTAGTTTATAAATCCCTTTTGAATCCAAATCAAGAGATTGATTTCCACTAATCACCGTCTAGAGAGATTAAACAAGTTTGAATGAGAATGAGTGGGAAAGAATGAGGAAGAGAATTTGGATAAGAGTGAGTGAGAGTGGGTGAAACAGGTGGAGGGAGGGGCTTTTATAAGCCCAAAACAACCTCCAATGATCAATTTGACCATTGGGGGATGGTATCAATCAAAATGACAATGGTATGATCGAAATGTGATCGTTACTGATCAGGTCAAATTTTGACTCTATCGGGTGATACATGAGGCGTATTGACTGGTATGCATCTCAGCCAAACAGGCTGGTTTGTGTCTCGACCAGACAGGTGTCATGGGCTGGTCCATATCTCGGTCAGCTCTCAGACCAGTATATGCCACCCATCTCGTACCATATCGAACAGTATGACAGTCCTTGTAAACATGTATCTTAAGTAATTTGCATCTTGTGTATTTTGCTAACACAATATGAATTCTTATCAGTAATGCCAGGCTGAAAGAAAGCTTCCTATCCACATCTAGTTACAGTATTACTTTTGAAGAATAATAAGAAATTTTCTTTCTCTTAACACAAATCCCAAAATGGGCTTTGTTGATAAAAGTCCATTTAGTTGATTTCTAACTAATCCATTTATAGTCATGTCTTGATGTTTCCCAGGCATGTTTAGTTTATTTTCTTGTCATGTCCACTTCCCATGTTATCGATAGTTTGTTTCTGATTATGACATGAAACAAGCTTCTACTTGTGTTTTCTGAGATGATTTGTTTCAAGTTCTTGTGTCAGTGATGTTAAAATAGAGGGTAGCTCTTCGTTAATGTGATGCTTGATCGTATCATTTTGACACTGTTTAGCTTCACTGTTCCAGGGTATATCAGAAGCATCAGTTAAGGTTGGGGCTGTCTACAAATATGACTTATCATTACCCATTGACCAATTCTATGGTATCGTCGAAGAAATGCGCAACAGGCTTGGTATCTAACCCACAAGTGCTACTGCACCTTAGCAATATAAATTAGCTTGTAGAACTGATTTTTTTATTACCTTGTACTATTTCATCAAACAAGTATTTTTATAAAACAAAGAAAAACACAGATTTATGATACCTGATAAATTCTTTATCATGTTCAGGTGAGGCGGCCAAGGTAGTTGGATACGGTCACCTTGGGGATGGTAACTTGCACTTGAATATCATGACAACTCGATATGATAGTGATGTATATCTATCAGCTTCAGCCTGCAACTTTGTTACATTGAACTAATTGTTATTAGCTATCATGATTAAAGCAGCATTGAATGTTGTGTTGCAGATCCTTGCTCAAATTGAACCTTACGTGTATGAGTGGACCTCAAAACACAAGGGAAGTATCAGTGCTGAGCATGGATTAGGGTTAATGAAAGCAAATAAGATCCATTACAGCAAGTCTCCAGAGACCGTATGTGGCTTTAAATCATATTCAATAAATAAAAACTTCCATTGATAAACTGAGAGACCTATATTAATTTATACCCTTTTACAGTGCATAAATTTCTCTTTCCTGATGTTAATTTACAAAATCATGAAAAAAATTTTCCAGGCCTAAACAAGTTAATATGGTGAAAAAATTCTTTACTTCATTGAGTTTGTTTTTTTAGTATCTAGTGCTTAATCACAGTAGTTTATCTGGATTCCGTGGTATATTTTTCCATACAATTTAATAGCTAGCTAGATATGTATAAATTCAAAAGTTCAAATAAATTATTTTTCTTTTGTATCTATGGGTCACCCAAGGTTTTGGATTAACGCAATTGCTTGTGTTTAGCTGAGATATTTTTAAAATTTTGTTACAAGCTCATATAAGTATTAAATATCATGATATTGGGATTAACGTCATTGCTCAGCATATTAGGACTTCAAAGCACTATTGATCTTCAGCTGTAAGAAACAGTATGCTAAAAAGAGGGCTGTATTTATTTTCTTTGAAAAACTCAAAAAGTAAGAAAATTCTGATACTACCATAAGTCCTGGAACAGAATTGTACACGATCTAAAATATGATAATTAGGCACTATTCAACTTTCTCATAATTCATGTCTAACCATGGTTGCAAGTATAACATATGTACTCCCCGAAAAAGCTATTTTCTAATTCTGTTAGGTTATTTTTTAAAACACACTTGACACTGATTTTTGTGCTACATGCTACTAACACTTCATGTTTCTATTTTGTTTTATTTTTTCATCTAGCATGTACCCTCATTCATCTGTTTTATTCATGGCATTAAGTTATTATTTTGTTCATGTGCTAGGTTCTCACTTAATTTGCACTATTGTCTATCTTGCCAGGTGCAACTAATGGTTGATATCAAGAAAATGTTAGATCCCAATCTAATATTAAACCCATACAAAGTTCTACCTCAGTCATGCTTCAATTGAACAGTGGTATGGTACTTAAAAGGCAAAATGTGTCAAGTGAAATCAATCGGATCTTGAGGTGTAGATTATGTTTGTTCACTTGTTACCAGAAGACTTACATAAATGGTGTAGGATTGTTAATATCTATAATTTTTGCTTATGTTTCTTGTTACTTCATTTTCTCTGTTACAAGAATTAACTATTTGTTCAATTTCTGCCATTTTCAGAAAATATTAGATCTCTTTGCAATTTTCAATTAGTGGTGCCCCCAAGAGCAACAAAGCATCAAAATCATAAAGGTGGTGGTCATCGATCAACTTCAAAGAGCAAAGGAAGCATGAAACTGTGAGTTACAATGAAGTTGTAAAACATCTAGCTATTCCTTTAAATCATTAAACTGAATTTTTACTTTTCCATTGCGTATGACACCAATAAGTTAATCTCAATTATTTTACTTCAACTGATTGGGGCCTTCAGGTTTGAACCAAAAAATCCTTGATAGTTTATTGAACAACAAAATGAAAAATATGTTCCTTCTAAACTTTCCCTTACCTCTCTGCCCTGAAAGGTTGTTGTCAAAGAAGCTGCAGCAGTAACTAGAGGTTGGACTATACACATTAGTTTGCCTTGTATTCTTAAATTGCTATTTGCTCAAACCATAATTAGAGATTTGGTTCATATAATTTTTCTTCAATTTTAGCAGATTACTAAAGGAAATCAACATCAATGGACAGGAAGCTGTTCTCCCTAGGTTTTAAGTTTACTAAATCTGCATCCCCCTAAATCCAAAGATCGCTACCATCATCATGTCATTGATTGTTTGTTTGTCTATGGTATGATTTATTGTTAGGTGCAAGATTGGTTACACCAATATATTCTGAGTGCAACTAGTTGTGCCTTGAATGACCGTTGGATTTAGCCAGCAAAAAATTAGCTTGATGTTTCTGGTATTCATACAATTTGGCCATACCAAATCCTAGATAAGTTTTAAGATTCACCTCTCTCTCTCTCTCTCTCTCTCCTTTTCTCTTCTTTCCTAACTACTCCCCGAAACCCAAAAAAGAAGTATGCTACTACTGACATGTTGAACTAAAAAAAAAATGAAGGCAATCTTAGTACTGTCCGATTGAGATACACAAGTTTTTCATGCCTAAACTGGTTCTCCTGCACACAAGTATTTGATACCATTGTTACAGTAAACAAAACTACCTCATTCTCCCAACAAGACACCTAATGCTACCAAATGTATCAGCTAAATCATGAAAATACATCATACAGGGTTTCAAATTTCATGCTATTTCTTTAGCTTGCTCTCTTTTCCTCTAGGCTCCATGACAAGGAAAGAACTGCGTATGTGGTCATCCACATAAAGTAGTGATCCCTTTCAGTTCCTTCTGAAGTGACATATTGGAAAACATCCAATTGATTCTTTGTGTCAAGGTGAGAACAAATTGTGAAGTCTTCAGAAAGAGCCTGGATACATCCTTTCAGTGAGTATGGCTGGCTCCATCTAGAAAACAATAGACTTGCGAATATTCATACTGTCATCATTACGGTCCCCAACTCTGTCCTATATGTGGGAATGGTGACATCCCCATAAGAAGAAGCACAGAAAAGAAGGTTCCAATAGCCAAGCGCTTGTTGTGTTTCACATCCATAGAGAGCACAAAATATTTGTATCTTTGCAAGTAGTATCGTCTTATGAAAATAAATAAAGGTGAGTTAGGACAACTCCTTGGAAAATTCTCTCTTGCTGGGCCTCACTTGTCTTGTGGTCCTGTCCTCTGGACCATCGCATCCATCAGCTTGTCTTCGTCCTAGCATCATCTTGTTCACCCTCAAATCTATCTCATTATATGTTGTCGTCTCCTTCAAAACCAAATAATCATTAGAGAAACTGCACATGGGGTCGAACTGGGCCTTTCGTCGGACGAACCGATCCCACCTCGGCCCAAAATGACGAGCCCACCCGGCTCGAGTCGGGTGATGAGGGATGGTAGAAAGGTAACAAACTAGAACTGGTCCTCATCAGGCGTCACCACTGTGTTCCTCTCATCCCACCTGCAAATTAGTTTTCCAAATTAACATCATGATTTTGATTATAAACACCGATTTCCAGGGCTTGATCATGAAGATGACTTCTTCTAGGGCAAGAATTCATCAATCTGAGTATTATAGGGTCTCAGTGGACATTTGGTGGGAGAAAAAAGGCAACCACCGTGATTACAATGACCATCTTTTTCAATGATTCCTTCTTTGCAACCTTTCAAGGTTTTGTTGAAAGCAACAACTTCGGCATTATGTTAAGAACAACAAAGATTGAGATAGATGGGAATAGACCAACCACAATTTCTATTTTATAGCCTTCGGAAGAGGAAAGGAACGAGGGTTGGGATCCTCTCCAATTCTCTTAAGAACTGTCAATTTTACACCCAACCAGATAGTCTTGTGATGTGCTTCCGGTCACTTTTATACGTTTGGAGAGGATCCCCAAAAAAAGACACGAAAATCTAACCTTCACATGTTGACCGTACGATGATCTACGGACGTTTTCGATATGGGAATTGGAAGCTTCTCTTTGCTTTTATGATGTGGGGAGGATATTAGGCTGACCTACTGGAGTACAAAACATGGTAAGGAAAGAGTTGTGTATTGGAGGAGAACATGATATTGTGATCAACATGGATTTGGCCACCGTTTCAACATGAGCCATGTGGTCTAACCGTGTGCATTCATTAGTGAGCTAGCTAGGGTTGCAAGGGCTGCATGCATGCATGCAAGGCAGGGCAAGCAAACAAGGCATGCGATATTAGGGTAGATGAGGATAGGTCCGCCGGTGCTATTGCGGCGGATGCCAAGGTCGAGGTCCACGATCCGTGACGCCGGCAGGAAGAGGTTGAGCCACGGGTGCGGCAGCTCCCACATCCCGTTGGCGCGGAGCTGCAGCTCCGGCCCGTGGACGCGGTCGAGGAAGTCGACGTAGGGGAGGTCGGTGGTGAACACCGATGCCGGTATGTAGCTCAGCTTGTCCCAGAGTGCCTCTACCACCTGCAGCAACCAAAGAAAACACTCGACAGATGTTCTTCTCGTCACCGAACAAGGTTGATGGCCTTGTTGTGTTAGGTTGAAGTGCAGACCTACCTCATCAATGGAGTCGGCAGCGGAGTCGTCGTAGTTCTTGGCCATCTCTAAGCAGTACAGCACGCCGCCGGTGGCTCCTACGGAGCTTATCTTGACAGGGTTCTTCGGGGAGAAGAACGACGACCTCCGGTTGTTGATCAGGCCGTCGTCGACGACGACGAAGCCTTCGACGTAGTCGAATCTCTGGCTTGGTTCTGCGCCAATGGAGAGAGATGAGCTACTCCTGGTCTCTGGTGAAGGTGGTGAAATTTAAGTACAGCACTCGGATCCACCTTACTTAACCCCTACAAGAAAGTACTAGAGATGATGATGATTACAGTGCAAAGTACAAACAAGATTGCGCTCTTATAGCAACTTGCATCCATCTAATGACTACAGACACGAGAAGGTGGGTGGAAGAGAGGAGAAGGCGAGGGAGTTGTACCCTTTTGGGAGCTGGCTCCAGTGCAATCCTGGCCCTGGTGATGATCCCGAACTGTCCCAGTCCACCTAGAACTCCATGGAAAAGCTCCGAGTTATTCTCATCTGAGCACGTTATCAGTTCTCCCTTCCCTGAATGAACGAATTGAATTGAAGGGAAGAAAAGACTGGTATGCTATTTTCTTGGTAATAGCTTGTGCGATCGGTGGAGTGAGAAGAACGAGGAGGATGCAATCGCTAGCTTTAGAGAGAGAGAGAGAGAGAGAGAGAGAGCAAAGGCAGGGTATGAGGATGCTGCCGGATTAAGTCACGGCTGCCTGGCATGCAAACGTTTACCATGGACACCATAACTAAGATGTCGTGACTGCATGATAATGCCTAAACCGAGTTGAGATAGACGTATCACTCAATTTATGGAGCTTACCAACAGGTAGGACGATAAAATTGTTTGATACTTGAAGTCATAAAGATAATACCTTTCATCATCACAGAAGCTACCTTATTATTTAGTCACCACCTTATTCGGATCTGAACCTCGAAAAGCTACCTAAACTTGGATCCGGATCCGATACTTTTGTGTGATCCTGGATCGGACCTGGTTTTAGGGTTGCCATGCCATCCACAACATGCAACATGAACGAAGAAGCTGCAGACTTTGCTTCTGCTTGAGATAAGAAAGAGTGTCTGGTTAGAGCTTATAGTCGATTCATCTCGTCAGCGTACCATTGATTTCTATTCCACTACGAGTTAGATAGTATCCAACCCAAAAGCACAAACAGTTCCTCCGATAGCTTGAGACACCATTTCAACAGTTTCAAGAACACCTCCAAGTGATTCTTTTGTTTGCTAAATGTAGCTCAGCGTAGTTCTTGTGGTTTTTAATAATCATAATATCTGAATCAAATGTATGTTCTAGATTTGGTGCTCCACCATGGTTTTCTAATCAAAATTGAGCAAAGTCACATTGAGCAAAACAAAATCCATTTAAAAGCATCCCCTAGAGGAGACCCAGCCTCACGAGAAGGCCAAGACTAGGGTCTCTCATCCTCGAATCTCTTCTTGCCGAGCCACCATGTTGAACCTTGAGACACAAAATGCATGTTATACTATCATTCACTCACCAAGTGAATTTATAAAAGGAAGTGACAAGATCTCCATAATTTATTGTTATATTCCATAGTTACAAAAGTAAAAAAAATAGGATTTTAATTACATATAATTCGTAATATGCTTTTCTCGAAATGATAGCAAGTTATTGACACAATCAGTCGTGACATCTTCTATAAATGAGAGCGAATAATTGGATTTGAAATAATCCTTTTTGACAATATGGGACTCGAATAATAGCCATTATGTGACTCCAAAATTTGAATCACCTTTTTAACCCGAGGAGACGTCGATCCCTTTTTAAGCCCAACATCGGTAGCATGACGACCATAGAGAGATGGCCGGTGCACATGATCAGGCGAGAAACAACTTATGCCCCAAGGGTTTCAATATCCTTCCTCCAGTTCTAACCAAGTAATCCTTCTCTCTTTTTTGCTTCCTTCTCTCAGTTGTGTTAATTTCCACATGACTTACTATTTCACGTCCTTGAAACTATTATAAATGTTTGCGGAAGACGTGCTTTCTTTTCCATCTTCCTCTTCTACTGCATTAGAGCAAAGTAGACTAGTTTTTATTTACCTCACAATCCGAGGCAGTATTTGAGGTGTGTGTGTGTGGATTAGTACAGATTTATGAAGAAGAAACATAGTAATCAGAAGAGAATATGGAGGGCGAAGGCCGTCACCAGTCGTATTCCTATCGATATTGTGGAGTCAGTGTTAATGTGTATGAACCCCAAGGATGTTGTGCGCCTGAGCACCACATGTAAGGAGTGGCGAGTCGCGGCCCTACGATTCGACCTAACCATGAGCAAAACCCCATGGTTGTTCACCGTTGCCGATGATTCCTACATCCTACAAAACATAATAGATGAGAACATGTCATTCACGATCAGAATCCCAGGTTTTCTCCTCGGAAGAAAGGTCATCAATGACTCATCATATGGTTGGCTTGTGTTGAAGTCCAAACAAAATGGCATATTCTCTCTTTTGAATCCCTTCTCTCGGGCACAGTTGGACCTCCCTGCACTTGGGCATCCAGGTCCGGTGTTCCTTCATATGTCATCACCTCCGACAAAGCCTGATTGTGTCATCCTCCTAGTTGATGTCGAAACTCTTTATGTTTGGAGGTCGGGGGACACATCATGGAACATAGAGAAAAACATGGATATCAAACATAATATGCCAATTATCAGCTTGCAAGGGCAATTCTATGCTATAGCTTACCCTTACTATCGCTTAATGACTTTCCAAGTCCTTCCTCTACGGGTCAGGAAATTGAATGTGCCACCTCCCATGGATATCCGTGTTATATTAATGTATGATGTATTCTTGGTTGAATCTTGTGGAGAGATATTATTGGTTTGCATTCGTATGCCGTGCCTTGATAGGGTTGGCCATGATATTTTTATGCTTCGACATGATATGTGTGACAAGAATCATATCATCTTATTTCGACTCGATTTGAAGAATGAGACGTGGATCAAGATCGAGAGTTTGGGTGATCAAACATTATTCCTAAAAAATAATAATCAGGCGATGTCAATCTCGGCTCATGACGCAAAATGTTATGGTAATTGTATGTATTCCATTAACCAATGGTCACGAGATGTTTACATCATAAAAAAAGATGGCGTTGACACAATAGCTAGAGGATCAGAATCTATCATCAAACGATTTTGGATCACACCAAGTTTGATATGAGAGAAAAAAAAAAGAAAAAGCAAGAGAACTATATTAGTTTGATATAGTAGGTCTCCATTGTCATGGTTTAAATTTAAAGCTTCAATTTCTTTTGAAGCATGACTGTATTTCGTCAATATACTTTTAAATTTTTGTAAAAATTTCATGATTATGGTCAAATTTCTGTTGTGTGCACATATAAAATCATCTCTTTTATGCCAACGATTCTTATGTTAAAGAATTAATAATAAATTTGACACTCCTGTTGTTAATATATATATATATATATATATATATATATATATATATATATATCCATGCAGAAAATCAAAATGTTAAGAATTATCTTATTATGTTGTGCCAGCACCAACTTCTAAGGGGCAGCAGTACAATGTGTTCATGGATGAACTATGTGGAAGTGCTCCATCTAATGGTTCCTTTGCAACTCTCCTGCCTCTGACCTATGTAGTTGATGCATGTGAACACAGAGCAGGAACATTATTGATGTAATGGATGGACGACAATGTCTTTGTCTCAAGCAATAACGGTAGATCTTTTAGAAGTTCTGATGGACTAATCACAGTTCTCAGGTCAATAATGTTGATACTATCACTAAAAATTCTCTGTGTCGGTGTCAGAAATAATCATCAATCCCATATGTCAAAGTTGTTCCAACATGGCTTGTTTCCTAAGTGTTGTCGTCTAAATCAAAGCATCATGCAAAGTTTTATCAGGTTCAAACCTCCAAAAGACTCCTTCGTTGCATAGGTTAACTGAGGGCTTAGGAAAATAAAACTAGTTCGCAGAGTTCAGACTTGTGTGCATACCTCTCCATGAAATTCATATTCCATTAATATTTGATTTTTTATAAACCTTTTAATGGTGTCCTTTTATGCTCTAGGAATTAAATTAAGTTTATTATTTAATATCATGGATAGGAGTATACCCATTTGGGTAAGGGAAATCAAATATGATTGTCAAGTAATCTGAATCCCATTTGACTTATATCCTTAAATGAGTCTTGGTTAAATTTGATTGATTCCTCGGAGAAATAGAAATTGCTACATGAAGAAGGATCTCAAGGTCCTGAAAATAACTTGAACAAGTGGGGTTGACGATAGGTCATCTCCTGATCTTTTAGAACTGGATCTTATAGCAAGTGAAGACTTAAAGGTTTGATTTTCTCACTTAATTATCAAACTGTGAAATATTCTGTCGTATTACATCACCATCACTGTTATTTTCATCTTCCTTTTCTTTTCTCCTAATTCAAGATTTGGTGAAGGAGGTGAATCACCTTTAGGTTTGCATTATAAAAATAATAATAAAAGTTATATAAAATTAATTATGAAATTGATGAAATAGAAATAAAAATATGTAATTACTATCATAAGTATAATCTTCGACCTTGTGCTTGCGTTCATCTACCCAATACAATTGGACCTTAGCTCTATACGTGAAGAATCTAGAGGATGTTTTGATACTATACGAAAAAGTTCTTAAAAAAATTAAAGAAAGGAGAATAAAAAAAAAGGAGGAACTAAAGAGTCAACTAAACCAATGAAATATATATATATATATATATATATATATATATATATAGGGCTATAAATAGTCTTTTCTAGCCAATCATAGATTGTCATTTTGTCACGGACTTAGTTAATTTTGCTTAAGTTGTGCGGCACCCTTGCGTGTCCATCCGCAAAAGTCAACCTCCCTGAAATCTCTAATGGTCACTTATGACCTACAAAAGAGAAAACGAGTTAGAGAAAGCGTATCACTCAGGATCCATAAGTTAACATTTTAGAAAACACTTTATAGCTAATGCAAATTACAAGCAGACTTTACAAGCTCTCAACGGTTGCACAACAAAGGGTCAAAATGATCAACTATAGACCGAATATCTCTCATAAGTATCCACATGACATAACCTTTATTTACAAGCCTAAAACAGCTACCAAATCAAACTAAAATGGGGGTGTTAAGCCTTTGATCGTCTCTCTACATGTTGTACAAAGCATGAACAAACCAAAAGACATGTACATATATAAGCATTATATCAAATATCCTATTTAGAATTTTAGCTGTTAAGCCTTTGATCCCTGTTGGTTCCTACGAATCCTTTAGCTGAAGGAAAAGACCATCCTTACTATGCATCAGTCTCTCAAATGCCTCATGCTTTTTGAAATTGGTGGATGAATGTTGGAGCTTTAATGAGCATCGCCTCGTAAACTTTTGAAGTTTTCGGCCATTCCTCCACAAAATTTACCCATCGACTCTTTTTTCATCTAATTGTCACTTCCAAGTAGATTCGCATCACTTCCCCTTTCGATTGACATTCTG